GGTGCTGATGGAGAAATATGTGGCTGAGTGGGCTCGTCCTCTGCTTTTCTTCAAAATGCCGCTCAGGACGCGCATCTTGTCTTGGCTCGGCCCCCTCGCGCCTTTCATTGACATGTCAAGTGCTGATAACCTGGAAGTGAGGCGGCGAGCTATTTCATTATCCTTAGGTGGAAGAGCGCTGTGTCCTCAAAGTGACAAGTGACTTCTGGCAGGATTGCTTAGCGGGCTTCTGAAAACAAACAGAAAAACCAGCGGAGGTGTTCATGTTTACCACGGTATTCCTTAAATTACCTGCAGTGTTTTCCTTGCAGTTCTGACATCAGTAACAGGAAAAAAAAATAAAAATAATCCAGCAACTTTTTGCTCCTTGAAGTGGTGATACACGTTTGATTCCTCTGTGGGTTGAGTGCAAGCAAGAGGTGTTTCTAAAACTCATTCAAATAAAAATTCCAAAATCCAAATTATGGATTTGTAAGCGGCTTCTCAAGCTTGTTATAGGTGTGAACCCCTGCGTGCTTCTTCTGTGAACCAGTGTTGTTTTTTTTTTTTTTTGTTGGAGAAAAATACTCTCCTGTGTGCTGTGTGCAGTTTTCTTAGGAGATGAGGATGTTGCACAGTATCTCTTGAAAGAGGAAAAGTACAAACCCTACCCTGAACTCCCAAGCAAGAGCTGGAACGCACATTTCTGTTTGTGTGTCGGAGGAATGCTTGAAAAAGGGAGTAACCTGTGCTCAGAAGAATGTCAGTTTTGTGTTATGAAGTACCCATGCATTTTCCTTTTTATGTCTTGAACAGTTTAAAGCTAGAATGTGAAAAACTGGCCAGTGAGAAGACAGAGATGCAGCGACATTATGTCATGGTAAGCAAGCTGCATAACAAATTCAAAATGTCTATTAGCTTGGTATACTGAGACCGAAATACATTTGGATTGCTGGAGGCGAATGGGAAGATTATAGTAGAGCTGCTGTTGTTTAGGTTGCATCAGTGCTTCCATTATAAATCCTTAGTTTCAGGGGTTTATAACTTGTTTGCAGCAGTTAGTTTCCACACAAAACCTGCTTTTTAACATTTAAAGCAATTGGGTATATTTCTTCCAGTGCTAGCAGATTACTTGTCAGCCCTTTAAAGCCATGTACAACTTTCGTAGTGTACCCGGGGATGATGTTTTCGCTTTTGCTGACTTCTCCCAACGAGCACATCTCTGTAAAACGCTTCTGGATAATATTTTTTTTTCTGCAATGAGAGTAAGCCAAAATTGTACATGTAAACATATAAACCCGAAGCCCGCTTCCTAGAAGAAGTGTTGCACCTGGGCAGTGGGTTCATTGTTTCGCTAATTTCAGAATGGCAGGGATCTCAGATGTGAAAGGGATTTCCTCAGTGGTTGTGGTCTGCGTGGTTGAATAACGTGCATGCAGGAAGACATCTCTAAATACATAATTGCGTGATGGATCATGATAACTCCAGAGGAGCTCCTGCTATCTGCTCTCTTACACATGTATGAAGTATTAGCCCTTTTCCATAGGTACATGACAAATGAGACTCTTGTATTTACAAAAAAGAGTAAATAACCTTGAAAAATTCTTAACCAAGAGCACAAGCAAATGTTAAGGCTCGCAGTTGTCTTTTTCATGCTTGATATGCCTAAGTCTTGGAGATTGTTTTGGTGCTAACATTACACACTAAGCTGAGTTCGCTGCAATACTCAGGCACGACAGGATGTACTTAGATTGGTGTGTCTGCTTTGGCTCTGAATTTCCCTGCTCTTTCATTTTTTGCATCCCAGCAATTTAATTGTAGCTTTTCTTTGTGTTTTTAATTTAAAATATTGAATAACCGGTCTGTTAGACATTGCTGATTTATATGTGTGTCTGGCTTCAAGCGCTTTGGGTGTTTTTTTTGGCATCTTTTATGTGTGCTAGGGAATAAAATCTTGAGCATTTTCTGTGTGGCTTTTTTTCTGTTTCTAATCTTTAACTCTGGTTGTGATTACTTTTCATGATTTTTTATGTTGTCTGTTTGGTTTTTTTTTGGCTTCTTTTATGGCCGTTCTTTGTAAATTTGACATGAAGCAAGGTAGATAAAGCAAAAAATAATAAAAAAAAAAAATAAGGTTGCTGTGAAATGCTGTTTCGAATTTCTCTGAGCTCTTCAAGGCCAGTAAATGTTTTTAGGTCTGTATGTCTTTGTACAATGATGCCTGAGTCAAAGTGAATTTTGGAATGGTTTTCGTGATTACAAGGTCTAATAGAATAATTTTCTTCTTTCCTAGTATTACGAGATGTCCTATGGTCTGAATATAGAGATGCATAAACAGGTAGGTCGATACTTTGTTTCATGTAAGAACGCTCTGTGTAATTTCTCCCCTCAGTCTTAAACCAGGTGTGTGTTCTGTGTGACTTGCTTTAATTGCATGCTTGGGTGCGTTGCGCATTTTTTTTTTTTTTTTTTTTTTGGTACTTAAGCTGGCCCTGAAACTTCCGTCTCGCGTAACGGCGTACGGGCTCTGCGTAGGTCACGATCTTGGCTACCAGTTGTGCATTATTCGGTTGACTGTCCACGTGCGATCTCCGCACATGCCAAAGGTGTCCTGCACCGCATGGGGAGGGGGTGTGTGTGAGTAGGGATGGGTATGTGGGTTGTACCTTCAGGTCGCTCCGTCCTTAAACCTTCGAGGTTTACTTTTTTGGGATGATAGCGACATCATGAATGCGTATTAGGTGTCAAGGGATTTGTATTTGCATGCGGAGAAGGCTGTTCTCTTCGGTTAACCTGGGCTGATTTGAGCTGGAGCTATAAAAGCAATTGATGCACAGCCATGTTCCTGTTTCCCTCCGGCTGCTTACTTGGACCTTTGTCCAAAACCAGTGTCTTAGCATCTCAAACACGAAAGAGTAAATGAGCTTTCTGTGAGGACGCTAGCATGCTTGGTTTTGTGCCTTGAAGTCTAGCACTTAGGCCAAGATTAGCAGGAGATTAGTCAGATGGAGCATGGTAGTGTAAATCAGAGTTTCTTATTCAGTAATGTGTGTTTTTAACCTTCTCTAGAGGAGAATGAATTAAACATCTGACCTCTTTTCCAGTGAGGGAACTTTTTATATGGTGGAGTTTAATACTGACAACTCATTTTAGCAAACGGTTGAGCAATTCGCCAGCGTTGCTGGGGAGTGTAAACTGCAGAAATAAAGAAATGGTTGGATGGGAGAAGAAAGACCATCAGAAAATTGGTTTGTACGCATTTCTGTTCAAAGTTAGGGATTTGGAACTTGTCTGGGTTGTGGAAATAGGATTTCTTTATCTTGTTGAGAGCAGACATACAAGTCAAATGTTTTTTCATGTTATTTATTATATTTTTGTATTCCATTAGCATCCCAATGCCACAGTACTGATTAGGGCCATTTGCGCTAGATGGCATACAAACATGTAGACGGTGGCACTTCCCACCTCGAAGCATTTTGCATCCATAGCTTCAGACTTATGGGACCTTGTACATCCATGTTCATTTACAGACATATATGTAGACCTGTCGAATTCAGATGTCCTCCTCACAGATACCTAGCCGTGAAGAGTCAACAAGTGCGTTTAACAAATGGTTGAGAGGAAGGGGCTGTGATTGCAGCTGATCAGATTGTACGTACATACCTGGTGACTGTCGGGACCTGATTCAGGTTGCGGGTGCTGGTGGAAAGGCTGGTCATGGACTCTCAGAGGTGTTGTGTCTGTTCTCAAATGAATAGCCAGATTGTGTTAGGTCCCACTTAAAAAAAAAAAAAAAAAGAAAAAAAAAAGAGGAAAAAAAATCAAAAAACCCCCAACCAAACAGTAAAGCAGTAGATACAGAAACAATTCACAAAGACCAGAGTCCTTACAGGCCACCTACGTAGCAAATTCTTACAGGCGTTTGAAAGCAGGCATAGCAGTCAAACTTGTTTATATTTCTACGTACCCTGTTTTTACAGCAATTAGTTGTATGTAGGCTTACACTGAGTGCACAAAATTCTGTGGGACAAAATCAGCTTGCAAGTGTAATGTGTAATTAAATTGTTTTAACCAGGGGGGGAAAAACCCACAGCGAAAGCCCTTTTAACTTTTAATTTCTAAATGCTTTACTTCAGAAATTGTATACAGTTATGGCGATGGAGTCGTCAGTGATATTCTGCAGAAATTGAATAGTTACAACTAAGTGTGGGGATTTCAAAGGACTGCATTTTAATTAAACACCTTTTTCCATTACTGTTCAGTCTGTTCAAATTAGTAGTTTAGGATTGTACTCTCATGCAAAACATTTAAATATTTTGTCAGATGTTGATTCAAATTATCTGCGGCTAAGAAACTTGTTCGCTATCATTCTTAAATCTGATATCAATTTAATCTCTGTCATGTCTTGCCTTCTATTGCCACAGCGCTTTGGTCTTTTGTTTTTTCCTTCCTTTCTCCTCTTGCTTCAGCAACTGCAAAATATTTCCCATCTTGCTTTATGATCACAGCGTTAGGGTCCATTTTGATCCATTACATAGATAGAGCGTTGATTGCTTCATTTGATGCGCGTCAAGCTTTTTTAGTCTTCCACCTTAAATTCTTTTCTCTTCCTCTCTCATCCTTGAATTTTACTCGGCTGAAATTGAGTGATTCACCTTTTTTTTTTTTTTTTCCCTTCAACTCCCCCCCCCAGCTTTCTAAATTCAATCATATCAAAAATCCTGAGGGCAGTTTATCACATTATGAAATACAGACAGCCCTGCAAACCACCTACTTATTATATTTTCTTTCTTTTTTTCACTTTAGCACAGAGGCATATCTGTCTTTATTTGTTTTTCTGGGCAGACAGCCTTGGTTCCTCTCAGGTTCTTTTCCAGATGTACTCGATGGATGCCCTTGTAATGGAAAGCAGGCAATAATGCAGTGAAGTTGCCCTTCGGCGTAATTGGGCCTAGTTCTCAAGATCAGGTTAGGCTTATTCACTTATTAGATTTGCGTCTCAAAGGGTTCAAGAGCAGGACTCCCTGGAGTCCTTGGAAGTACCCTAGTAATTGGTGGCCCTGATATTTGAAACCTTTGTGTATTTTTCTGTTAAAGCTTCTGTTCTTCTTGGCTGCTCCCAGCCACAGAGTATTTATTTTTAGAGAAATTTTTCACTGGAACAGAAAATGATGGCTGTGATGGAGTCATGACTCTGTGACTTAGCAAATTGATAAAAGGATAAATGCGCAGAGAGCAGCGGTAGTGAGTGTGCCTGTGTGTCTGGGGGGGGGGAAGGAGGGGGGAAGAGCATCTCTTTTCCCACCCCCCGTGTGATGCTCATCATCAGTCATCCTGTGTTGATTTTGATAGAAGACTATTAAAGTGAAACCTATGGGGAATTTGTCATTCTGAAAGGAAAGCTAATGTAATTAGTACCAATTAAAGTACATTTAGTAAATTGGATTTAATCTTAATTAAGCCTGCATAATGTTGCCAATTTTTAACAATTATGTTTGAGAACATAATTAATTTAAATTTTGGTAACTGAGTAAATAGCATTAGACTGGTAGAATTAGTCATTTGTTGTTTTTTTTAAGACAAGTGTGGGGTATGTTGTGACATGTGGTGTTACAGCCCAAAATAGTAAGCTAATTTTTGATACTCTGTTTTAGGATCAATAGAGCTTCAAAATAGACATGTTAAAAAAAAAAAAAAAAGAAAAAAAAAAAAAGGAAGGCATTGAGTTGAGGGGTTTGGGGTCACAGTATGAACAGATACTTCCCTACAGTTTTAAATTTCAATACTAGCATAAATGTGCATGTTTGAGTGTGGTCTGAAGATGCATGTTTCTTACTAAGTTGCTTTTTTAATATTTAAGAGGCTCAGCGGATAGTTTATGAATGAAGAGTTGACGTACTGCTCTGTGTTTCTAATACACTGTTGGTATTTGGTGGTGGTGGTGGTCATTTGGTTTAATTTCTGAAATGAGGCTGTTTTAAGGTTATGGTAAACAGTTCATTTAAATTGCTGTAATCAAACATGCTTGCTGAACGTTTTAATTCAGAATTGTAATTGTCATTTAAAATAAGTGTCTGTATTTGGCTACAGACAACAGATATTTGTGAATGAGACTGATGGAAAGCATAAATAGGATACAGCATTCACTTTTTACTTTGATTATGTTTTTTGGAGGTGGCAATATGTAAATTCTGAGTCTCTCTTTTTTGGTTAGACCTCCAGCCTTGAACTAACTTGCATGCTAGAATGTTGCATTTCAGCATTTTTGAAAGAGAATTCAGATCTTTTAAGGAGCTGGGTATTAAAAAATAAATGAAATGACTTTTTAAGATCACAGTTAAAAAAAAAAAAATCAGTCCAATCCATGTAAATTTTATTACAAGACTTGGGCAACAACCATTTGAGTGCTGCTAAAATATTAATTGGATAGAAATGAAAGGCCTCTGCTAGCTGATAGGATATCATAATCATAGCTGCAGTAGTCGATGGTAAATGATGATAAATGGCATTAGGAACCTTTTAGCAAACTGTAATAACTACGAGGAGGGAAGCAGTATGGATTTGCATTATATCTGATACCCTCTAGTACCAAGTGGATTGCCAATACTGCTTGTTTAGCATTTTCTAAGGGCAATAGGATATTGATTTCTGACTTACAAGGAACGGCTCTATTTTCGCCATTGAAAAGTATTGCAGGTTGTTAAGAAGAAATTGACTTGAAGAGGCCTGACTGCTGCCCATCATGGAGCAAATAAAGCAAAACTGCCGAAGCATGGTGGAGCAGCGAGATGGGGCCCTCAGCAATTTGTTGCTATTAATTTACCATGCTCGACAGCAAATCAATCGGCATCTACTTCATCTGCTGGAGAAAATGCTGTCCAGGGCAGATAAAAGGCCCTGCGTGGTACAGGGAATAGACTGGATTGGCCAAACGGAGGCTGCAGTTAATGTGTAAATAAGTGAAATCAAGGCCACTGTTGCCGAGAAAGCTGTTTTTAATTAGGTTGGGGCTTTATAGTGAGCTATTTAAGAAAGTAGTATGGAGAGTAAGGGGAGATTTATTGCCGACTGAGTTAATATATGGGCTGTACGACATCCCAGCCGTGGGTCTGCTTGCTTTTTAAGCCTTAGTAAATTATTTTGGTAAAGGGGTAAAGATGGGAATCAATTTGTTTAATTTAGGGCAGAGTTTTGACCATTTTTCATCTTCATGGCTGTAAAACACGTATATCATAGCGAACTGGTTTGTATGTGCACTAGCTGTGTAATGGAAAAATACTTTTTTTTTTTTCTTCTTTTTTTTTGGCAATGGCCTGGGCTTGGCGTGAGTGTGCATGC